GGCAGACGCATAAAACACTATAACGCACGTGGCCTCTTCCTCAATTCCTCTAATAATACTAATACTGATTAATTATCGCATCGAGAAATCGACGCCGAAATAAAGTGTGAAATTATTAACATCGGTTCCGTTTCCGAGCTAACTAGATTAAAGCGCGTTTAAATTTAAAGCCTTTAAAATTAAAAGCGTACGGATTGTAAAAGTTAATACATGTTGTATTTAAATAATTATTTTATACAATAATGACATATAATGTTATATATTTCGAAATAAATAAATCAATAACGTGGCAGAATGCTCGGTTGATCAGACCACCAATTGATAAGCTCGAAATCGATATGGTACGGAGACTCTTTGCGATCGCAAAAGATTATAAGGTCGATAGAAAACTATTGTCGAGGGACGCGTCTTTTTAGCTTGAGGGCACTCCTTGCAATCGATGTACGTTCACGGAAAAGGAACGAGGCCGATTGTTCGTTGCGGATGACCGGCGTCGACCTCCGCAACAGTCAAAGATGTTAGAAACGCAATAGAATCGAAGCTCTCTTTTTCGTTATCGTTTCATTCGAGCATTCGCACGCGTATTCGTCTTTCGTATCACGTTGATAGCGAGCTTGCGTGCACTGCCTGAGAATGTCGAAGCTATTGCGAGTTGAGCAAGTTGACGAAATTGGTGGGTTGATCGTGTACACGTACAGTGACAAAGGTCGATGTAACGCATCAAAATTGACCACAATATAGAACGTATATGAAAAGGATATGAAGTAAATATTGATAAAAAATCTGGCATTTAATTAACGCAAATTATTAAACAATAATAAGATTGGAATTAAGACCGTTTTATACGAGTACGAGTATTAAATACGAAAAGTGCCACTTGATGGTCAAAGTTAAATGTTTGAAACTAATACGTATATATACGTATATTCTTTTATCGAAATGAATTTATTTCAAAAATATGATTACGCGCCGTTACTGTCGGACTTTCGCAATCCATCTGAAATCCATTAATGATCCCCTCAAATTTTAATCTTAAAAAACTGTAATAAATTTAATAAATGCAAATTATTAAATTTGATTTAAAACACAAAAAATACTGTAAGACACATTTAAGATGTATATTTTGAAAAGATAATTTTTGAAAAGAAATGGAAGGATGAAAAATACTTATAGAAGAATATAGAATCGTGTAATGTAATAAAGCGATTGATTGATGAATGCGTTTATTATATTAATGATGGAGTCATTTCCTTAAGAGCATTTAATGGGATTCACTGGATGTTATTACATCAGCAATTAAAAAGAGATATCCGTATTCTCGTCGATATGCACGATAAGCGAAAGGGGTCAGCTGGCAAGCCTGGCTCTCGACAGTAATTGGAGCGCGAAGAGTCAAGTTGCATTTCCAGGACGATAACGGTCGTCAAACAAGAATCCTTGTCTCACGAACGCGTGGCGTATCGTAATCGATGAAATCTCGATAGGCAGCCCTTCGGCTTGCGTCGTCTTTTATTCGCTCATTATGAGCTTTCGTTTACAAAAGAATTTCATCTTCTTGCGTAACAATGTCCTATACTGGTTTCTTAGATTTTAAAAAAGTCTCCGACCGAGAGTACTTTGCTTCAGCTCGTTGAAGGCTTTGATCTTGAATTAATGTAAGTCAATCGGTGGACACAACGATAATCGTCCCATCTATATCGAATCAATTCCATCGCCCCAATCGATGTTCATTGCAATGACGGAAAGAAATTCTCTTCAGGCATTTGTTCTTCCCGCTTCCAAGGAGCGTCGTAAGAACCCATCACGGAAAATCCATCTTCTCTCCTTATCTCTTTCTCATTTTTATGCACGGATCATGTTAAGCTTCCCCGAAGTATGTTTTTCTCGATAATAGAACGAGTTATTTATTTTAATTCCAAAGACGAATAAGAAGAGTTACTCGTTTATCTACTTGCGAGTGTGATTTCTCTAATAAACATTTAAGCATTTAATTTAATTAAGCTCTAACCAAGTACAGCTTCCTATGCGGTTTTGATTTGACTCCAGATTTCCAATACACCATCAGGTCAAATTGATGATAGCTTCAACGAACGATGATAGTAAACACGATTTAGAAATCAAATATCCACCCGCGACTCTCATAACGAGTTAAGTTAATCGGTAAAATAAATATGAATGATATCGTCGGTATCGTCGATATTGTCGGTGCCGAAATAAGCTTGGCATAGAAATAAGATTTTCCGAGTATATTTCCGAGAACACACATGTGATTTCGCAATAAATGAGTGCGAAATAGAAATGAAAGAAAACCGATTCACTTAGATATCGTAAAAACTTCATCTAAAATTTAACCTTAAAAAAAAAAACCTTAAAAATTAATCTAAAATTTAACTGAAAGGAAAAAATTTAATTCAAAGTATATACAATGTGAGAAGAAAATAAAAGCTGTCGTAGGCTGTTTGTACATTTTTCAGATCATCAGATTAACAACGTCGATACTGGATGGCTGAAATATTTTTTTGGAGAGCTTTCGCGAGAGAGAGAGCTTTCGTGTTCATGAGAAATAGTTAACGCACTCGCGAATGCCAGCCGATATCTAGCAACGCCGCGTTCAAGTTTCGATGCAAACGCCGCACGCCTCTCGAGCAGAATTGATTTCGAACTGGGTTACGCGGCATACATATGAATGAATCGGCGCCTCTTTTTGAACGTCGAACTCTGCGGTACTTGGCAATTCATAGATTAAGTAAAGCACGGGCCGTGGAACACGTCCGTATCAGAACACCTCGGCGCATTCCTCTCCTTCGGACTTGAGACGGACGTACACTTCATCCAATAAATCTAGCTCAGGCGCTGTATGATCTTCGGTTTCACACAAGAACGATAAATCCGGACGTCGCATTCGAAAGTCGGTCGATTCCGATACCGAGTACGTTCCCTCCCTTTCTTGCTGCCGACTAAGCAGCTGCATCGCTGTATAAACTGACGTGCATTACCAATTCAATTGTTACAAAGTATTATGTCCCAACGTTTCTTAAGCGTCCTTCGCTTTTTGTAAAATACAGAAAATGCGATTGAGCGTTTACAACATCCCACAAATTAGTTAATGCATCTTAAAGATTAATTATTCAACTTAAATCAAAAGGTAATTTCTATTGGTGTACTTTCAATCTTTATTAGAGAATAACAATAAAGCTTGTTTCTAACTCATTAATACATTCTAATATATCTACGTTTGTAGAAATTAAATAATGTAACTTTTTTAAATCTTAGACAGATTATAAAAAGATGAAATGATCTAATACATTAATCTATAAAACTTTCAGAATGAATCACTGAAGAATAAAGTCTCACTCTTAAAGATTAAAAATTGAGCTATTCTTTTTCAAGACTAGTTCAATCTTCATTCTTTAGAATAAGATTTTACTCCAATGAATCTAGAGAAGTACGGATTATTAATCTTTAATATTTGGACGATAAAATAACGAATTGACATATGTTCGTACGAGCAAATTATACGAGTCAACAACGTTAACACCGCACTTTCGTATGTCTCCGGTAACTATAAATCGGCAGGAAACCATGAATATATATATAATCCCAGCGATCTAATCTCTCCCATGAGGCACGAGCAAAAAGAGACGACTACGTGAGTTATGGCCAGACCAATCTTTCCCTCGCTTATCCCTGAGTTATATCTAATCCTTAGCGATGAATTCATCTGCCATCATACCGTCCCCAACACGTATATGTGACATCCGCTTAATGCATATACCGAATGGTACAAAATACCTCCCATTAGTGCTTAACGAGACTATACCTCATGACGAATGTGTTTAAAGGGAAAGTTCTACAATACGAAAACGCGATTGAAACGCAATGAAACGTAATAAAAACAAACGAGATTCACTCCATTAATTTTTGAGTACACGAGCATTACGTGATTTTGCTTTTACGAATTTCTGCTCGCTCGTGGAAAAAGCTGGGCTGAGACGCGAGATCAATCCAAATTTTATCGACGCCACTCATAATGCCACGTTCTATAATTTTATTTGCCTTGCGCAAAGCTCCGTTA